TTTCCATATTCATGTTCTGCTTGTGCAGCTGCTGTGGTGAGTTCTCAGAATGAGTTTGGCCCCTTTGAATAAGCTCTTCATCACGAAGAATGGTCGTTAACGTCATGCCCACGCAAAGAATTAAGGCAATACTGTTGTCCCAACTGCCCTTTCCCACACCTTAGTAATTCATGGCATTTTTTTTGATGCAGGGCATGGAAGGGGGTGGACGGAGGAGACTATTTTACAGCAAGAAGGGTAGACTAGATGGAGACTGTTGGGCAGATGGACAGGACAGATGGAGGCAATATTACGCCGAAAGATGGACATATTGGATAGATGCAGACAGGTGACGGGACTTCTCTGTTTATCGGAAATGATTTCGTTTCTGAGATGCCCTGTAGGCAACAGAGATACCGACAGGGAAGAGCAGGCAGCCTGCAGCCCGTTCAGAACAGCTGTTTCTACCAGACCAGTCACGACAACGTTATATCAACATTTTCACAAGGAAAGGATGAAAACCTGGGGATCTCCCTAGTTTTGGTTTGTGTTCTCCGAAAGAAACTAGAGGGCGACTTTCATTTTCTTTCCCTTCCTTCAAATACTACCAGTCTCCTTCCAGGGGGGAAAAAAGAAAAAGCTTTTGAAACGGCACCCTGGGTAATTCTCAGCCCTGGAAAATCCCTTGGGGAGTTGCTGCTTTTGCTGGAACGGCCCCAGATCTGCAGACTACCTGGGTCGAAGGGCACCTGCTGCGAATAAACCTCAGGGCTGTTACCCTGCAGGTGATTTTTCTGAGGGACCCAAGTCCAGCTCCTGAAAGCAGCTCTTTCTGCAGCCTGTAGAGCTGATGCAGCTTCCTGGGGACACCAACTGTGGCAGGAAAAAAAAAAACCCAAACATTAGAAAGAACCTGCTCTTATTAGCCTGTTGGCAGCAGGGTTGCCTTCTTCAAGGCACGGCAGGAGGTGATCTCATGTTGATAAGGCTGCGCCGGTCTTCCCAACCCGATGTCGCTGCTGCCCTGACCTCCCTTGAGGACCAGAAACGTTGCCTTGAGTCGTGGTTCTGGGTTGGGGGTGTGCGGTTCATAGTGGCGTAGAGCTAGCAGCCCTCACCTCACCCAGCCTGGCAACCCCGAAGACCTACAGACCGTGTGGAAGGCAAAGGAGATCCTTTTTGGAGATCAGGCTCTCCACGGGAGGAGAGCAAATACATTGGGACCAGCTCCTGGAAACATCTGGTGGGTCTCCATCTTCCATCAGACCTTCTTGCGTTGTGGGTAGAGGTGGAGAAACCACAAACCCGATGCAAGAAGTCGCCCTCCAGGAAGGTCCCTGGAGACGCTGAGCTTGTGCCTGCGTTTCCACCTCTCCCTGCGCAACTAGGAACATCCCACCGCCCCAGCTTGCGAGGGAGGTCTTCCACTGCCCCCAGCGCTGCAAAGTCGAGCTCCAGGTGACCGTGAAATACCTTTGCTGAAGCGAGGGAGGTTTGCGGTTACGCTGTCGGGGAGGTGGCACGAGAGGCAGATGTTCCACCGGGTGGAAAGGAAAACCAAACCCAGGCACTGAAGACGAAAGAAAACCAGAGAGAAACACAGCGAGAGAGGTCAAGATGCAGAGGAGCGTCACTCACCGATCCTAGCCATCATTCCGGTCTGAAGAAAAGCCCTCTGACATCTGCTTTCATTTTATACCCTGGCTTGGGGAAAAAAAAAAAAAAAAAGCCTGCGGTGGTTCAGAAAAATTCTGCCAATCAGTACAGCCCGGAAGAGATCGAAGTGTGATTTGTCACAAAAAGGGGAAGCAGCAATTGAGCACGTTAAAAACAAACAAACAAACCCACGAAGGAACTGACTGGTTTGGACATTAGCCATCAGTTGCCTGCACGTTTTAGGAAGGGTTATGACTATCAGAATACGATAAGAGCGGCTGCACCCTTCTCGTGAAGGGCAGAGATCTCAGCAGTGAAATATCTGGTTTGGATTTCCCTTATGTTGCACAAACAGGCACCCACTTAAATCCATCTAGGTGTCATGGGATTCATTCTGCACCCCAGGGAGGCCTCTGAGCTACCACCCAAAACCTCCTTCCTGGCGATGGAAATGGGCGTTTCCAGATGACAGGTCGTCTACTGGACGCTCCCACGTCAAGGGTTCAAGCACAATTCTGCTTTGACCCCGTCTTTGTTCCTCCAGAGGGAACCTGGAGCTCAGATGCCGTCACCGAAAAGGTGAAAACTGGGTGAATTGCACCAGTGTTTTTCCAGAATGGAGAACTCTGACCTACCAAAGCACCATGAACCATCCCTTGGCTGGTCCACCACATCTTACCCACCGTACGGACATACTCAGCGCCACGTAGGCACCTTGGCTGGTCTGCTCCTTTAAAAAAACCAAACGAATGAACAAAAAAAAACCCCCAAAAACTACCCTTCCTGTCCCTTCCATCCCTTGCCTTGTGCCTACAGACCGTCTTTTCCTGTTAATCAGATGATTTGCGGATTCAGTTGAGGAAATGAAACTCGACGTCGGTGCTTCCCCGACTTCTGGACCCCGAGGGGTGACCTCATCGCTGAGGCAGAGCCGGCTTCACGGAAGAGGCTTCCCCCGAGAAGCCTTTCACTGGAAGCGGTTTTGCAAGCCTCAGCAGTGAGTGGCTCCTCTTAGTACTGTTTTCTTAACGAAATCCGCCTTTTTTTTCTCTCTTTTTTCTTTTTTTTTTTTTTCCCCTGCAATGCTGTTGGTTTCTCGTCGCGTTGGAGCCCAGAGCTACGTGCGTCGAAACGGAAGCAAATTCATTGCCCTGCGCTGCTAAAAGTTTGGTCTTTAGACATCTGGGTGTCCTCCCTGGCCACCCAGACAGCAAGGCCAGGAGCACAGCGCAGCTTTGGCGGTATTTTTATTTTCTGACTTTCAGTACTGCTTCCTTCAGTTCCTTGATTGCAACAGCTCGAGTCTCCCGTGCGGAGCCAACCTCGTCGCCGCGCTTGATCCCATTCAAGTCTCAACAACGTCGCGGGTTGTTACGAGGTTTAACCGTAAAACATCTCGAGGGCGAAGCGAAACCCGAGGATCGCGGAGTCCAGCTCCCAAAGATTTCAGCGGAGTTTTGGCGAATCGCGCCAAGGGCCGCGGGGCTTTGGGAAGGTCGGGTGGGGGGCCCACCCGGGACGCTACGTTGGTTTGCTGTTTCAAGTAATGCCGCGGAAGAGCAAACCGTGGCAAGGTCAGGACTGTGACCGTTGCGTGGACGTCCCACGCGCCACCCGCTCCGTGAAGTCACGCTCTCATGAAGATGCAAAGTCCCCTCTGGGTGACTCTGGTCTTCGGGGAACGGTGCTCACGAGTCGCTTAAGCCACTGGTGACCGGGGTTTTAATCTTCGCCACCCCGCAGGAGCCACTGAGCGTGTTTGCATCCCTTCGTTCTGGCGGACTTGTGACACAAACGGGGTGGTTTTGCGGCGCTGCGTGCCGTGGGTCGTCTTGGAAGAAGCCAGGCGGTGGGCCGTGCCCGTCCATGGGCTTGTTGGCGGGGCGTGGGGGTGTTTCTACAGCAAGGTGGGGATTTTGGGGTCCCATTTCCTTCGCCTGCCCCCGCAGGCAGCCCAGTCCTGGGGACGCTTAATCTTCCCCAAACCCGCGTTCTCAGCGTTGCCGCTGCAATGGCCAAGGAGGTTCGTTGTGCTTCCAACATCACCCATTGATAGGGTCGGTCTCCTCCGAAATTGTGACGTTTTCAATTCCAGGACGTATCTCTGCCTGCATCAAGGCAAAACCAGGAGCTGGTTCTTTGCATCCGGTTCACCGGCTTTCATCCTCATGTCCAAAAGTTCCCCTCCGTCTTCATTAAAATCGGGCGACAAGCTTCTGTGGAAACTTTCCTTCTAGGAAAAACGGAACGTCTGCATGTTTTTCTTGAGGTTTTTGTCCCAGAGCATGCCTCCATTTAAGAAAACCCACCAGTTTGATTCAGGTTTAACAGCTGGAAAAGGCAAAGGTATCCATTTTTCTGAAAAACCCCACTCTGTATCTGACTTTTTTTTTTTTTACTGGCTTATGACTACCAGGTCGCTCTCCTGACACCTGCGGGTGCCTACGCTGAAAACCCAACAATGCTTATTGCCTCTTGGTATGAAGCAATGACACTTCTTGGGGGATTTAGGGATTACCTGATGAAGCCAGGATGTTCCCAGAAGAGCTGGAGATTTTGGAAGGAGGGCAGTTTCTTTCATCTTGTTTTCATCAGGTTGAGATTAACGCGTGTCCTAACGAGTTGCTTCAGGATCAATTTCAAAACACAGGGTCTATTGTCTGAGTATAAGCACTCCACGTCACCAATTTCAAAAGCAGTTCCTCCTCTGTTCCTGCTCTTGCCTGCTACTTCCCTGAAGATTACTGGAAACAAGAGCTTCCACCTGAAACCCGTTACGACACGAGGCTTGGACAATGACAGCGGGAGAGATGAAAACCAAGCTGAAAGAGTTGGCGTGGGGCGGGGGGAAGAAGGGACGAGCGTTTGCTTCCAAAGAATTGCCTTCTGGTTTTAATGTTGGCTTTTATTAACATAGGAGGAAAAAAAAAGTCAGGGTTTGGTCCTCCAGAATCGGAGCAGGCGGATGTTGGGGTGGGATGTATCAGCTGTGGTTTTGATGGTGCATGGAGGGATTTGAAAGAAACGAGGGTGGGGTGGGGTGGGGGGGTGTACGTGTGAGCATTTGGACGTGGAGATGAAAAATGAGTAAGGTATGTCAAGCAGGGGGAGGGAAAAACCCGAGTATTGGGGTGTATCTGGACGGATGTGCTAACCCGGCAATTAGCCGCAGCGAGTCTTCGCGGTGGCAGACGCAGGTCGAAGGTGCTCAGTCATTTCTTGTTGAGGGAAGGTGCTCTTCGAACGGATTTTCTTGTCATCCATCTCCTACTTACCCAGAAGGTGCCCAGGACACGTGTTGCACGTACTCGGCTTGGTGGCGTGACTGTCAGACAAAACTTTCGAGACGGAGGCGATGCTCTGAGAGACAAATGCTAGGTTGGGGGGTTGGGTTGGGTTGTTGGTGGTGTTTGGTTTTTTTTTTTAAAGTTGGGTGGAGGAAGATTTCCATTGGGAAGGGTGAGCAACCCAGAGGGGTTTAAGGGGTCCTGGAGGTCTTCAAACCTCGCGGGGAGCCGTCGCTCCTGGTTGCCATGGCCGAGAGGGACCCCGACAACGAGCGGTGGCCAGGGCTCTACCCATTGTGACCTAACGGGGGGAGCATTGTTACGTCATAACCAATGTCAGGGCTCGACCCTATAAAAGGGGGAGAGCGGACACGTTTGTAGACTTGTTGGGGTCTGGACAGCGTGGGGACAAGACCCGAGCCATGGTGCGTGCTGGGAGAAGGATGAGAAGGTCAGAGCAGGAACGGAGACCTCGGCGCAGGACAAAACAGAGAAGCCGCGTCAGGAGGTCTCCAGTCAAGCGGAGAAAGCACCAGAACCAGGCGAAGCGCCGAGCTGTGTGGAAGCAGAGGGAAAGGGCTTTGAAAGGCTCCATCAGGAAGATGCTCAGCCAGCTCAAGCGGGACAGAGCGTTCCTCTCCCGCCAGGCAAAGGGGCTCACGATGAGGGCGGCCATGGACCTCTGCAAGCAGGTGTCACGCAGCGCCAAGCAGCTGCAGAGGAAGAGCCGTGACCTCCTCATCAGCCTCACCCACATGCAGGTCGCCCTGCAGAGGAACGCGGCGCCGAAGAGGAGGTCGAGGCCAGCACCCGCCAGGGCCTCGAGAAACAAGCCCTAAAGAGAACAACCTCCTTCCCTTGAGGTTGGGACGGGCGGCCGATGAGACCTAGAGCTCAAGGGAGAGGAATTCTAACCCCCCAAACCCCTCAGCTGGTGAAAAGACCGAAGCGACGCACCAGGAGCTTTGTCAAATGAACCAGCGATGTCGCAATTACACCCGAGTGAAGCAACTTTCGGTGGTGTCAGGGGTTTCTTTGGCACGGAGGGATGAGGAGGGGAGGGCTTGGGCTTGTGGCTCCGAGTTTCGTTAGTGAGAACCTGTAAGGGGGTTTTTACCTTGGAGAATATAGGGGCTTTCACGGCTTCCTTGCTGCAAGTAGGTGGTTCTGTACACTTGAATCTGTGTACTTCAGTCTCCAGCAGATGGTGGGGGTTGCTGTGAGCGGGGAGGGGAAAGGCTAAATGACCCCAGGATGGTGCTGGTGATGTCCCAGTTCCGCTAAAGCCATCCGTCACCAAGTTGTCACCCGCGACAGCGGATCCCTTAAAGAGCGGCAAGGTCAGCCCGTGCAGCGGCGGTGCCACCCAGCTTTCAGAATTAGCGGTGGCGTTTGTGGGCTTCGAGGGTTGAACTTGCTGCGAAAAAGCCTGTTATTGGTGTCACCAGAGCCAGAAAGAAATTATTTTGTGGATGGAGGGGGCGGTAAAATGGGGGGAAAAAAAGCTAGTTTCCCTGACCGGGAATCGAACCCGGGCCGC